TCCTTGTGGAGAGGTTCCTAGATTGGAGGGGTTCCTAGACTGGAGGCAATGGCATTGAATGTCACACCTTGCATTGCTTCTCATCCACATTGGGAAGGAAATTACCTTTAATTTGTTGAAATGAACTCTCATTCCATGGTTGTTGATTTCACCAGCCATGGTCTGGTCTTCATAATAACCAAGGTTTAGTGCCTTTGTCCACGGGATAATCTTCGATGGAGAGGAGAAGAAAAAACATTTAATGTCTAATGCTCTTGAGGAAGAAGCTTTTGCATAGCTTTGGATGCTACCAATTCAAGTAGGAAAATTTTGTGTTATAAAATAATTAAGGGAAAAATTATGAAATTTATTATAAGAAAATCACAACCTTATTTTAAATTTAAATTTTAGGGCTCTATGAGGCAAGTAGAGATAGGAAGGACATCCATTGCGGTCTTGGAGGATGATCCCTCCAGGGAGGGCAAGTGCTTCACAGGCGCGTGGGTTTGGGACTGTGCTCTAGTCCTAACGCACTGGCTGGATTCAATTGCCGCCATAGGCGAGAGTGGCGGCGCCGACATCGCGCCTGTATCGGCGGAGCTAGGGCTGGGGCACCACGGCTTCAAGGACAAGAGGGTCGTGGAGCTGGGAGCAGGAACGGGGCTGCCAGGAATGGCGGCGGCGCTGCTGGGCGCGTCGGAGGTGATCCTCACTGACCGCGCTGGATTGCTGCCGTGCTTGCGCCGCAATGTGGAGGCGAATCAACTAGAGAGTAGAGTGAGGGTGTTGGAGCTGGAATGGGGCGCCGATTGCTCGCAGGTGCCGGCACCAGTGGATTTCGTGCTGTGCTCGGATATCCTGTACGACATTGAGGCGGTGCCCGCGCTGGCAAAGACGCTACTGGATCTGTCGGGCGAGAGCACAAGGATCCTCCTGGCCTACGAGCTGCGAATTGGGACGACCGAGTGCTTCCACAAGCTTAGGGAGCTCGGATTGGAATTTACGCGCGTTCCAAGCGAGGAGCTCCACCCGCAGTGGCAAAGCGAAGACATTGGCATCTTTATCTTGCGAAGATCTTATCCAGAAACGATATAGAAGGCACGTCCACTAATATCTAATGGCCAGTCTTGGAGTGGCATGGCTTGCAGTGGAGTCTTAGGTAGTAAGCGCTCCATGTGGACGGCCCAAGCATTCACCAATGATTCTCACCTACGGCTCTGTCAAGCTCTTCCTGGAGTTTGATCAAAACCCGAGGCTTGTGCATCACCGAGGCCATGAGCCACTCGCTTGTGGGGGCAGAAGTATCAGGTCCAGCCATAAGCACCTCCTGCAAACTAGCAAGAACTCTTACCAAGAGATTTGCCTTGATGTGTGTTTCTCCCTGGGTATTTGCTCCGTAGAACTCGAGCATGATATCAAGGAAGTCCTTGCATTCCCGTGCCGATCGTCGACAATCTTTTGCAAGAACTTGTCCTGCTTATTAAGAGCAGTGGTGAATATTTCAATATTTTTGGATATTCTAACTATATTCTTTACACAGGTTTTATAAAGCAAAACAGAAATGATTAAATTGTAGAATATGAGATTTCAAATGCTTCAAGTTTATAGTATTTTATGGTTTTTGATAGTCTTCTTAGTTATTCAATTAGCTATTTTCAATGCATTTAAAGAACAATTCTAAAATCATATTTAGTGTAATAGAAACACTGATTCACATAGAACAATAGTTGTACAATAACTTCTTCAAACACAGAAAGTATGAATTTATTTTTAGGTTCAGTTCAATACCTCTACGCACAATGCATTATTACTTGGTAAATGTAACTCTTAATATTATCTTTTTCCTAAGAAGAATAAGATTATTATTTAAACTCATTCATTTTCTATTTTGGTAGCTGATAATGGTGAGAGAGATTTATAATATTAATGTACAAAGCTTAAAAGATGAAATTTGGAAATATTGTCATGAAGGATATAAAAACATATGGTTTAAATGTCTAATTCACAAATGACTCTCTTATAATCAAGAAACTATTTCTTTTCAAGTTGGGCTACTTAATATTGGGGCAAATAACAATAAAACAATAAATAATCAAAGTATCATTCTATTCATATTATAATTTAAATAGTTGTCTATAGTAATTTAGACTATCTATTAAAATTCCAAAAATTATAAAATAAGATCCCGTAAAAATAAAGGTTAAGTCCACACAAATAAATAAGGTTTTGGTAGCTATTTCAACATTCTCATAATAAAATATTCCTATACATGAGGGATGATAAGGAAAGAAGAACTAGAGATGTCTATTATAAATAGATCTATTGTTTATACTTTTGAGGTATATAAACATCACCCAAATATGATAAATTAACCCACCACTTTGTGAATTGTGAATGCTAAACCTTTAATATAATAATTATTCAAACCATAAAACTATGGTTTGAAAAATAAAAAGTTTTAAAAACTTAGTAGCTAATTATTATAAAAGAGAAACAGAGAAAGTAAAAATAGAAAGAAAGTAACGAGTTAGAAAAATAAAGTTAAATGTTAATATTATTTAATGTAAACATTATATATATATATATTTATATATATATTTATATATATATATATATATATATATATATATATATATATATATTGTTCACATAGTTTGAGTGAAAGGAAAATTATACTTTAATATATGATGAATTTGAAATAATTTTAATGATGGATTTAAAATTAAATTTCATGGTCAAATTTTTTTTATTAATCCAAGTAATTATAAAACTTTCTAAGGTATTGAATTTGGTAAAACTAACATTCTTGTAACTTTTAAATAAATATATGGAAATTCACCTTTTTATTATTAAATGAAGATTTAAAAATAAATATCACATGTGATTCTTTATGAATTGTATTTGAAATATATATTGCAATGATATTATTAATTATTATATTGATAAATGTAGAATTACTAAAAACAATATCAAAAATCATATCAAATGTTTTGTGATATTACTTTGATAATCTTAAATATTAAATGTAAAATTTAATTATAACGTTATTCTATATTCATGAAGAAATCTCTTATTGAAATTAAATACTATTGTAAGCTACGATGGTGTTTATATACTTCTTCTTCAATATGTTGTTACATTGTTGTATATACCAAAAGAAAACATTAGTATAATAAATTAAAAAATTTTATATTGTTTAATTATTATATTTCTAACAATACAAAATATTTATAACTGAGGTTCTTAC